CAGAATATACCCATACCGGTATGAACTGAAGATAGTCACGTGAACCAAAAAGGGGATTTTTTGGGCATGTGTGTCGATCCACGGAGTAAAATCAGACCGACGGTTTCGGTTTCTGATTTGCCAGTTTGGGGAGCGGTTTAGGGGACACCCTAGGGTTTGTATAAAAGGGCTGGAACAGATGCGTGTTGGTCTCATTTTGGCCGAAAATCAGAGAAAGAGGAGGATTTGAGAGAGAATCAAGAGAGGTTGTGAGTTGTGTGTGATTGAGGGTGAAGGACAGCTTCTGTTCGAGGGTTTGAGAGGGCAAACGGCTGGACAATTCGAGGAGGATTGGGGTGAAACTTTGAGGGTAACTTCTCCGATCTCTGGTCTCGATATGGGCGAAATCCGTTCGTCATTTCGTTGAATATTCGTTGAGTTATGGCTGTTTGAACTCGATAGGGTTGTGCAGACTTGTTGCTGCGATCAGTTGGCTTCGGGAAGGCTTTCCGATCGAACCAGAACGACTTAGGAGACGATCAGCCTATCTGTAGAAAGCTCTCTCTGTCTAGTTTCTAAATCAGGTTTCTGATCCTGATTCTGAGGTATTATCCGTTCTCGGTGTGCTTTCAAAGTCAGTGTGTCGTTCCTGTCTTCTGAAATCCTAATTCGGTTTAGGTGATTTTTGGAGGAGATAAACGGCTAGGCAAATCAGGTCAGATCGGGATGAAACTTTGTGGGTAAGTTCTCCAATCCTTTTTCTTGATGTGGGTGAAAACCGTTCGTCAATGGGTTGAGTATTTAGGGAGTTATGATCGTTTTAACTGGGTAGGTTTCTGCTGCGATCAGTCCACTTAGAGGGAGGATTCCCGTCGAACCAGAAAGAGTCTGGAGATTATCCGCATACTGGCGTGTAGGTTATTCTGTCTAGTTTTCAGAACCGTTTTCCGATTCGGATTTGGATAATCCGTTCGTCGTGTACGGGGCGTTCTTGTAGGCATCGTGTTCTTCATCTTTTCAATCCTTTCG